CTTTTAAACAAGAACTTTGATCCAAAATTTTCATTTTACTATAAATACTGATGCTGTATTAGTATAAATAATCATTTTGATTATTACAATATATATTTTCTAAATGAACGGGTTAATTTAACGTGACAAAATCTACATTTTTTTTATCGAAATGGTCAGATGGATGTATGTGTATCTTGTCATTTTGAATATTTTATTATCTAATAACTTTGTTTTTGAATAAATAGACGAAATAATACAGGTTGACACTGCGGACGTTATAGAAAAATTTAGCGGACTATTAAACGTAATAAGCGTATAAAAATGCTTTTATATACTGTGGTGGGTTAATTTTTTGCATTATTTTTAGTAAATAGATTCAATTTAAATATCTAAATATACCGTTTCTTTTGCTTAGGTATTATTTTAGCATTTCTTCTGAAACGGATCTGCTAGAGAAGTATCATATCATACGATCGAAAAAAAAAACGGCGTCAAAGACAGCTGAGTAATGAAAATCGATGATAATTTTAGGGCGGTCAAACCCTAGGCTATTATATTGAGTAAAAATGATTATTGAATGGTGTAGTTTTTTGAAACTACACTGAAATTTTGTTTTGATTTTCGCCAAAACTATCAGCGATTTTTATTCCCCAGCCGTCTTTGACACCGTTTCTTTTTCGATTATACGGTATAAATCATATCAGTCATATTATATCAAACCAGCTGCACAGTTAAAACTAAAATATTCGATTTTTTTAAAAGATAAAAAGAGGTATAGAAGTGGTTTATAAAACTTTATGAAATACTGGGTGAGTTTCAAATAAGTGCAAATATTTTCAGTGTTTGTAAATCTTTATGAAAGAAACCGTTTTTCAAATTAGTTCAAAACAGTAATTTTATTTTGAAAATTAAAAAAAAAATATTTTTTACTTAAATTTTGAGAACCAGTGGATTTTTTCTGTGGTTCTTCGTCACAGTATCAAGATATGTTTTTTTAAATGAAAATTTAAAAAAAGTCACACCTATTTTCCAAATATACCAACCCTAAAAATATGTGCATTTATTTAGGACTTACCCTGTATATATTAAAGATAAAGAGCTTTAATATATCAAACAAAATCTAGATGAATTATAATTTTTTTAATGGGTTTTCTATACACCTTTAACCTTTATGATTAATAATAGCCAATCTATATAACTTTTCAACAATCTTTTTCATTTTTTCTTTTAAATTTTATGTGGCAGATCCGTTTTAGCGAAAAACTAAAACCACTTTTAATACTTTCCGACTAAAAAAGGAAAAGAACCCTTGCCCTTCATTGTTTATACTAATTTTGTTAAAACTTTACGAAATATACCTAGATAATTGAAAATTTTTATTTAATTTTTAATGATTTTATGGAGGAAATAAAAAAAAATATTAATATTTCGTTGTTTTCATGGTTTTGAAAGTTTCTCATAGTGTGAAAGCTCCAAAAATATAACATATTAATTAAATTGTAAACATGACAATGACAAAAATGTCATTGAAGTTACATACGAAAATAATTTAGTATTGACTAAGAACGCGGTATGTCGCTAGTGGTAGGAAAAATAATTTTTAGAGGTTACGAGTTTATTTGGTTGCATGTAAAATACATATTATATAATGTCTTTTAAATGTATTTGACATAATTGTCAAGTTGTCAATGAGAAATAGTAAAAAAATTGGATCTGCATCAAAAAAATACCGGTTTGTTTTTTGATTGAAAACAGAATTGACATCTATGAATATACAAACTCCTTCAACATCAAAAGGTAAAGTTTTTAAATTGTTTTATTACACTCTCATGAATATTTTTCATATTAGAAGTGTTTACTGTAAAATTATTACGTTTATAAAATAAGTCAATGTAATTTTGCAGTTATTAGTCAAAGAAACATTCTACATACAAGGTGTCCCAGAAATAAGTGCAAGCATGTTAACTGTTAGTACAGTTCAACCCCAGAAACACGTTTATGAGTTTTTTTTCACGAAATTTTTTTTTTGAAAATTCGAAATTTTTTGAAAAGTTTTTCGAAAATTTTTTTAGTTTTTAGTTAAAAAACATAATTTCTTGATAATATGGCAACATAGGTAGTAGATTAAATTTACAAGAAAGGAAATCCAGAAAAGATCCAGTGATTCTCAAAATTTGAGCAAAAAATAATTTTTTTTGGAAATTTTCAAAGTAAAATAACTCCGTTATTTTGGACTTATTTGAAAAACGATAAAGAGAAAATATGTTTCTTTTATCGAGATCTACCACCCCTTAAAATACTTGCACTTATTTCTGGGACACCCTGTATAAAGAAATATCTCATTCTAAATGTTTGTGAATAGCGAAGTGGATAGGCATCAACATCAGTAAGGCAGTTGTATCCATTGCCTGAAAACTTATATCGTGAAATTTTTTTTGATAAAATAATTTAGTGCATACTAAAAACACGGTATGTCGCTAGTGGTAGGAAAAATAAATTTTAGAGGTTACTAATTTATTTGGTTGCCTGTGATATGCATATACAGGGTGTTTCCTAATTAATGTAGAAAATAAAAAATCGTTAAAAAACGGATTAAGGCGGGCTCACAATAAGTATATTTATTTTTTTCTCGGTCAAGAAAAAAATAAATTTTCTTTAAAAAAGCAGTGGTGTACCATTTATGTTAAGCAAAAAAATCGATTTTTTTAAATTTTTAACACCCAGTAGATCAGAAAGGAAGTACTTTAGACCCAATGGTTATATAAAAATTGTTTTAAGAACACATGAGGAATCACACCACAATTTTTTTAGACTAATTAGAAAATACCCTGTATATTGTCAACTTGACAATGATTGCTGATAAATCAAATAAAGCCCGATTTTCGCGGGAAATTTTTTTATTTTTATTGAATTTGGGCCTGCGTCTGCAAATACCGGTTTGTTTTTTAATTTTCTATCTATCTAAATTTTAAATATCATAGTCAGAAATAGTTTTATTGTGTTGTATCCTGCAAAGAAACTAACAAAGACGATAAGGTACGTATCTTAGATAAAAGAAAAATATATGGTATGTATTTGTTTGATTTTTTTATCGTTCGCTTTAAAATCTATAAATCTCGGTCTATTCATTAGACAGCCAGTCGACTTACGATCATTTACATGAAACTCTGTAAAATAAATAAAAAAATAAACTGTAAAATATATATATTCTTATGTTTTATTAAAGTTACTCTGATATACTAATATATCAGTGTAACTTTAAAAATAAATCCTTTGAATTCAAATATAAACATAAAAAACATTTACAGCAGAAAAGGCGAAGGTGCTGGGTTAAACGTAGTCTCTACTAAAAACACGGAGGGGCGCTTTAACCCAAAATTTTACCACGGCATATAAATCACACGGCAGGCTAACTCTCTTTGGCGGGAACGCTACGCGCATACCGTCGCGCACTCCGCCATTAGGGTTTCCATCAACAGAAAGTAACCAGTGTCGTAGTTTCTTTCATCGACTGCGCACACTTTCGGCTGATTCGAGTCAGTAGCGTACGGATTAATTTATTTTGTTTATTTCTTGAGTTATATTTTATAGTTGTTGTTTTATTTTTGTTTATTGTGTTATATATTTGGTTTTTCTAGTTTATTTTCGTTTCTTGTGTTATATAATTTATTTTTGTATTTCTGAACATTTTTAAATCTTTAATTTTTACGTGTTTTTAAAATGCCTGGGCGAAGTTGTGCAGCAAAAAACTGCCCGAGTAGAGGACTAAACTGCAATAAAAGTTTCTTTCTGTTTCCTAGAGATCCGATTAGGTATGTATATACATATGTGATTAATTATTTTAACATATTTTAGTTAAAAAAACGGTAGTATACATATTAGGACATTCAGCTAAATAGGAAGATCTAATTAAAAATCTTAACAAACTTTAATATTAGTAAGATTTAATGTTAAATATTTAGTAAAATAAAATTTAATGTTGTCTCTAGAATCTAGACATTAAAAATTAAATTTAAAAATCATTATATTATTCATTTAAACATAATTATAAAAATAAATAAAATGAGTATATCGAAAATAAGTTAACAATACATTTTTAGGGCAAGAACATGGGCAATTGCAGCTAACGGAGAAGACTTGATTGAAGATATAAATAAGGCCCACAAGTACAGGTTGTGTTCTGTTCACTTTGAATTTAAAATGTTTACCAATTCACTTTGTAACCGTATAAAATACAATGCGGTACCTACTTTGTTTCCTGCCATGAAAAAAATAGAAGTTTCTCAAAAAAAATTGTGGATTTATTAATTTGTGAAATTTGAATATTAATAAAATTTGCTACGCCCATTGATGGGCATAATTTGTACGTAGCCTCTTTATATTGTTCAATAAATATTTTATTGGTATTTTTTTAATTCTTGTTTGTAACTCCTGGCATGTTTTTGTTAGTTGCATGTTTTTTAATTTTAATTGTCTATTTTCTACAGTGAAATGTTTAATTGATTTTTTCATTTTTACTTTTCGAGAAGTATGCGCGGTTAACGATTCATTTGTTTGGACAAAAGTATTGTAAATAGAATTCAGTTTCAGTCAATTACAGTATTTTTTTAATACGACCCTGCCGTATTTTCTGAGAAATTTTCTCAAGGTTCAAATTTTATAGAAATTTTAAACAATGGAATCTGAGTAGAGTTGGCGTGCCGATTGTTTTATGTGCCGTGATTTTACTATTAAGTGTTTCATATCTATCTTAATAGTAGATTATTTTCTTTTATCTATGGTTGTATCCATAGAGAAAACCTAATATTTAGCATATCAACTTTTGACTTCTAACCACGGATAATAAATAATCAATGGCTGAAATGACATTTCTCGCAAATTTTGAAGTATAATTAGTGGAAAAGTTAAAAGTTTGATAACTTTTTCTACTAATTGAAAATGTCTACCACTAATTTTGACGTTTTGAAAGCCTTACATTGAAATTAAAGGAACAAACTTCTACGCTAATTGAAACCACTAATTTATTCCACTAATTGCGAGGTTCTGAATGAAGCTTTATGTTTTATTAAAGTTAGCTTGATATACTAATAAATCAATTTTAAAATATGAATATAAAAAAACATTTAGAGCAGAATTGGCGCTTTGATCCAAAATTTTGCCATTAAGTTTCATATCTATCTTAATAGATGGATATTTTCTTTTATCTATGATTGTAACGCATCAAAATCATTATCGAAGGGCTGAAAAAGTATTCTTTTCCTTTTTTCCATCACACCGTCTATAATACATAAGTCATTCGATTCAGTAATTTACGTCATTACATTTGGATAAATTCCTGTCGTCACACATTCGCGAGAACTCCTTCATTCTTCTGAGGCGCGACTTGCAGAACACGTCGAAAGCCTGCGGACAACACTTCTCCCTGGTTGCCGGATATTTCAAAAATTCGTACACCACGTGCTTGGAGTAGTTCTTGTAGCAGCGCTGTTTCTTCCGCTCTTTGAGATCGAGCAGGAGCATCTTTTTCTTGTTTTGGAATTGATGCAGCGTGATGTAGGCCTGCATGCGGTCGCTCACGCCGTCCTGGAACCGGCACTTGGGCCAGAACTTTTTCCGTTCTATGTGTTTGTACGTCTGGAACAAACAGAGAAGTAAGGTAAATACTTATGACCACTCAACTTTCGTTTAGCTGAAATCTGTTATATAAAAAATGACTTTATATATGCGTTCTAGAAGGCATTAAGAGCCAAAATATACAAAAATTTTCCTGCGGAAATGCGTCATTTTCAAAACTAGTCTTCGGGTGTGTGTTTTAGACATTTCTCTAAACCTAAAAACACAAAAAAGTGTCTGCGGAAATTTTTATTTTTATTTTACATAAAAAATGCTTTGACTTTAGAATAGCCGAAATCAGTTACATGAAAAATGAACTTATATTTGTTTTATGCGAGCCTTCACGAGCAAAGAAATACAAAAAAAATCCTGGGGAAATGTGTCAATGTCATTTTGTGCACTTTGTTTTTCATACATTTTTCAGTTTAGAAGCTTACGGGACTCGGGAGCGAATAGGGGTGCTGGGTGGGGTAAAACATATTTCGGAGGAATAACAATTCTTGTAGAATAGATAATTACTATACTTATTACTAGCACTTATCCTTGTTTTTTATTAAAGCTTTACGTAAATAGGGCTGATTCAAAGCAAAAAATCATTGGATCATGCAGTTTTCTTTTATATTTTAATAATTAACTGTGATTTTGCAAAAATATTATTAGATTGGTTAGGATTTGGGTTGTTTTGGTTAGCTTTTCTTTGTGGAGGGTGTTAAGCTGTGGTTTTGATATTTTAATAATTAATTGTGATTTTGTAAAAATATTATTAGATTGGTTAGCATTTTAGACACTTTTAAATTATTTTTTTTGGTTCAAAAGTAAAGTAATAAAAGCAGTAAAACGCAAAATGTATTTTTTTATAGCAGATTTCAGTTACTCTAAAGTGCGAAATTTGGAAATTACGCATTTCCGCAGGAAAATTTGTTGACATTTCCCTGGTATCTGTTCAGGTTTAATTTAAGAATAGATGGAGTTTTCTTTTAAATTACTTAAAATCGTCTTGTCTAAAATTGTTTAAATATGGCATGTGTATTCAGCAAGAGCGATCAACATTTTGACAGTTCAAAATTTGCATGGGATTTTCTATGTTGCCTATGTTAAAAGATTCAGTTGCTTGAAAAGATCTTAAAATACCTAACTGACTTAAAGAAATTCATTTTATCTGTGTAGGTACTTACCATTGCAATGACGTGATTGTTCCTCCAGCAAATAAATCTTCTTGCGCTGTTGTCGTAGATGTAGAATCCTCCACCAGATGCAGTTATTATGTATAATTCGTGTGGAGCTGAAAAAAACAAGAACTTTGTAAGATCAATATAATTGTCAAAAGGACGAACTTACCTTTGCAAGATAATGTTACATTAGATTTTTGTACTTTCAGATAGCCGCTAGTGTGTTTTTCGACTATGTGCTGTATCGACACTGGTCCAAAACAAGCCTGGCAGTTGTGAACAAATATCTGAAACAAGAGAACGAACAAATTACAACAACAACACATACCCCTATGACTTTATTATTTTTTCAGATAAAAAAACGAGATATGGTATGTTAGTACCTATATGACATAAATTAGAATTGATTGACGTATTCAATTGATTTTGGTCACTTCCTGTTTTACCGGAAATTACTACAACTTTTGATTTTTAAATGGCACGTTCGGTATATTTTTACTTAATTCGATAGAAAATGACAATCTATATATAATAGAGTGACATAACATATGTCAACTTTTGACGTTTTCTCATAATATGGTTTATTCCAAATTGTGACATACGGTTCATAACGACAATTTGACTCGAAATACCAAGTGTGTGGTACCAAATTATTCGTAAAAAAATTCTTTTTCCAAATATGCTAATGAGCCACCCTCGTTCCATTTAAAAAATTGAGATATAATTAAAAATACGATTTGGGCATCTCTTAACCGGCCAGGACAAGACACGAAAAACATTAGACGATCAAATCTATTTTTTCAAGGCTCCTTGATTAAAAATTAGTGTTTTTAACACAGCCATGGCACTCTAGATTGAAATTTAAAATACGATTTTTTAAAGCAAAAATGTCAAAAGTTGACATATGATATGTCATTCTATTCAGAGTGACATTTTCTATCGAATAAAGTAAAAAATACCGAGGTTGCCATTTAAAAATCAAAAGCTGTAGTCAGTTCCGGTGAAACAAGAAAGTGACCAAAAACAATTGAATACGTCAATCAATCCTAATTTATGTCATATACTAACCAGTGGCGTCACAACACACTCACGGGTCTGTGTGCAAACATTTTACCGGGCCCCCTATTACATCTACATATTTCAATACTTATATACTAATCTGAATAATATGCACTCATGTTTTAGGTTAAAAATAACATTATCAAATTAATTTTTATATAGTATTATTTATTACTGCAACGCAGAATATGTAACCCAAAACATACATATAAAATATCAAATAAATAAAAAAAAATAAATAAAAACAAAACGAAAAACAACAACAAAACTAACTAAATTAAAATAAACCATGTAAATAGGTTACGGGTACGCATGGTCAGATGCTACATTTTTTCAGTTCTCCTGTACGGGTGTGAGAGTTGGACTCTTGACATATCGTTAGAAAAAAAACTAGATGCCTTCGAAATGTATATTTACCGCCGTATATTAAGAATATCATGGGTCCAAAGAGTTTCAAATGAAAAGGTTCTTAATCGAATGAGAAAACAGAAAGAACTCATGCTTACCATCAAAGAAAGAAAAACACGCTACATAGGCCACATAATGAGGGGTAAAAAGTATGCACTTCTCAGATTAATAATTGAAGGCAAAGTCCCGGGCAAAAGATCTATCGGCAGACGCCAGAATTCCTGGCTAAAGGACATTCGTAGATGGTTTGGTTGCTCATCAATCGACATATTTCGTATGGCTGTATCTAGAATGACGTTAGCTATTTGGATCGCCAACCTTCGAAAGGAGACGGCGTCGTAAGAAGAAGATGTAAATAGGAACATGAACATTTTAAAATTCTTTTTTCCTTACTTTAGCATGGGCGAAAGTTGACACAATATTACCAATGTCTATTGTACGGGCTACTTCATTTTCTACTGAAATAATTGCCAAAGCTGATAACCGTTTTTCGCCCATAATATTTCTTAAATAATTTTTGACAAGCTTTAATTTGGAAAAAGATCTTTTAGCCGAGGCCACAGAAACAGGTATGGTGAGAAAAATATGACACGCTGTTAAAATCTCGCTGAAACTAGAAGACGATGAAAGGTGTTTAATTCAAATAAATTCAGTGAGTTCAAAAATGCAATTGATTTCATATAAATTATTTCGGTAACATTTCCTGAAGGAGAGTAATTGAGAAGAAATCGTATAGGCAATATCGTCCTCTTGCTGCCAAAAGTCACTGACTAACATTTTTCCGAACAACCAAATTCAATCACTAACTATGTTTTGAATCGGAGTATCGATTGCAAAATTCATTTTTTTTAATACCGAATAGTTACTAACTATAACATCTTTATGCAATGCAATTCATCTTTAGACTCATTTTTCTCGGAAGTAATAAAAAGTAAGTTAGTGACTTTTGGCAGCAATGGAACGATATCATCGGGGTATTTAAGGTATAGAACCTGGCCCATTTCATATATATCCTCATCAGAAACAGAAGGATTCTGCTTGACTCGCGATAGCATGTGACAGATATGGAAATGTGGCCCGGGCCGCCTGAGGGCCACTGATACTAACATACCAAATCTCATTTTTTTGAGCTTGCAATACTCTGTTAGTAAGCCCTCTACAGTCTGAACAATTTGACTACCTTTGCTTATTAGGTAAGCTGTGAATTTTAGCGGGTATTCTACTATGAATTGGTGATTTGTTCACTTGAGATCTTACTTTGTCTTAGGTTTATTTAAACAAATTAATCTTAATAAATGACCTCGTGTCCTGTAAGAAATCCACTTGTTCAATACCTAAATTGGTCGATATTTTCTAACGACTTCATTAATCTTTCAAGGAGAATGTTAAAGACAAATCAATAGGTAAATTCCTAAGTTTTTTCTCCGGTAAGTCAAGGTGAAGAGTCATCATCATTCATAAACTTGTGGAATTCGAATAAAAAATAAAGTCAATATTTTTACTGACACTTAAGTTAATTATATTAAATTGCGTAGAAGTACGGAATGATTGTTTTACGAAATTTATAGATAATATATGCAAATTGCCGCTAATACATAATGATTTTGCTGTAAAAATGAACTAGGTAATCAATCGAGTTAATCAAATAAAACATTATTAAGAGTCCATTTCACTAATTCGGAAAAGTAGCAAAATAAGCGTTCGGTATTTAACGTTTTATGTAAAACTGGCTACGTATTTTCGCACAAATGAAGAAGGAAATTAAAGAAAAAGGATTATACTATATCCGTATTGTAGCACATTTTTAGACAACTTCTTTATTTTTAAGATTTTGATGGTCAAACATCAACGAAATATTCCCTATGTTTGAACTAAATTTTCTCGAAAATAAAGACATAATTTAAAATTCCGTTACAATACGGAAATAGATTGAAGTTTTGTGATTACAGTGATATATAATTTATATGGTTTTGTAACAAATTGCTCGCTATTTTATGGCAAATGCTGAAGCTCTGCAAGCCTTAATCAAAGCACGTGTGTTTGGTATTTTGGGTGTGGTTTAACACGACAGGATCGGGCTAAGCCTTAGGCAGATATCTGAAATATAATATATATTTCCTTCGGCCTCACACCCGCTTTACCCGATCCCTGAGAGCGACCCGAACAATACAGAGTAATTAGCACAGATTAGGTATCCTATAAGTATACAGATAAAAATCTTGTCTCTAATTCGTGGTACGAAAATTGTTTTTTATGACGATGAACAACGAGTAAATTTCCTTGTGCGCAAAAGTAAACTCCCGATTAAACAGCGTAATAACTGGGCCGGACAGGCGGTGTGCACAATTTTAGAGGCCATAAGTGGGCGTGCTTGTGCGCAAGCTAGTAACCTAATTAGTGCGCGACTTCAAAAATTGGAACCACGAAAAACAATGCTTTTGACGATATGTTTATAATCTGTATAATCTGTGGTAATAGACTCTCTCTTAAAGTAAATACTTAATAAACCTTTGTAGGTATTTTAACTTCTCAAATTGCAGTAAAACTGCCATTAAATATTACAAAATAATTATATCGTTAGACGTTCTGATTATGCGCATAAAGAAGTAGAATTCACGACGTGTTTTTCGGTATCGCAGCATTAATGCTCTCTGAGGCCGGTGAGGATTTATACACGAAACGGAGCCATAAATTTATGCACAGTCAAGTAATGCATTTAGTTACTATGTATATTAAGTAATATGAATATGTATGCCAGTGAAATCTAAGCTGCCGGTATTATACCTTTAGTATTCCTTTACATACATATATGCTCTTTTTCATTTCTGTTTCTATCGGTACACGTGTATAAGTCGTAATAGAGATGATTTGAATTAGGTATTTTATCAATATATATAATATAGTATTTATTTAGGAGCTAACATCATTAGTCAGTGCGACCCGAAAAGAGAAATATTTTCAAGAATTGAGCGAGCGAGAAAAATCTTCGTGAGAATGAAATCATTTTTTACAAGACGAGACCTCAGTGCGGACTCAGAACCCGAATGGCCAGATGCTACGTCTTCTCTGTGTTACTCTATGGATGGGAGAGCTGGACACTGGATTCACAGACCGAAAAGAGAATAGAAGCCTTCGAAATGTATGTGTACAGACGGATGCTGCGAATCTCATGGGTACAAAGGATCACCAACGATGAAGTACTCCAGCGCATGCAGAAACAAAAAGAGATACTGAACACCAGCAAGGAAAGAAAAATGCAATACCTGGGTTATGTGATGAGAGGTGGTAGATACGAAATACTGTGCCTCATAATAGAGGGCAAAGTGCAAGGGAAAGATCAGTAGGAAGACGCCAGAACTCATGGCTAAAAGATTTAAGAAGATGGTTTGAACGCTCGTCTGCGGAAATCTTCCGGGCTGCAGTTTCCAGAGTTTTTTTTCCACAGTTTCCATATACATATTCTCCACAGGTCTTGTGGTGTCTCTTTGTTATTACAAAAATATATAGTTTCTTAGTCCTTTGTAGTATCTTGATATTCTTCATGAATTATTGTTTGGTTGGTATCAACTGAGCAAAGGCTCTTCTACAATCCGAGTTGCATTTTAGACTTTTGGACGATTGACACGAGGACAAATGTATTAGGCCTAACCAATAACAAAGATGGAAACAATACAATAAAAATGTAATTGTCGTATAATGTAAGAATTGGTACATAATCCAATAAAATTGTCATTTGAAAAAAAATACGGGCAAGCTGATTTTTTCAGAGTTTGTCAGCGACTGTCTTCTGAGTGTAAAATAAACAAAATCGGAAATTTTCCCCTAGGGGTTTTTGAGCAATAATAGGGGTGTTTTTTTTTAAACTGTAATAATTAGACGCAAATTGTACATAAGAACATTCTCTATAGTTAAGCCTAATTAATTTTTTTTATAAGTTTATTATTTCCGGACTTAGCGGCCGTTTCATGAGCGCTTTGGGGTAGTTTTCAAAAAGTTTGTTTTACAGCAAATTGACCCGTATGAAAGTTGTTCATAATAAATGGACAAGCAACTTTTAACTCATTATTTTTTTTTGTAGCTTCATTATTTTTGGAGATGCGTCCAGTTCATGAACAAATTGGGGTAGGGTCATAATTTTTGTTTAGTTCTACAAATTTACCAACTTAAAGGTGTTCATATTAAAATTACATGCAAACTTTCCTATGATATGATATGTATTTATTTCCCCAAAACGAAACATGGAATTCATCAAGTGAATGAATATTATGGTTTTTTTTTATTTGTAAAGCTACCATCACTTGTTCATGATCTGGGCGCTATCTCCAAAAATAGTTACAAAAAAATCCCATAAGGCAAAGGTATATGTACTCTTATTTTGAACGAGTTTCCTAGGGTGAATTTGCTGAAAAAAGAGTAACATTGAAAACTACCCTAATTTGTTCATGAACTGGACGCTATCTCCAAAAATAATCAAGCTACAAAAAAATTCATGAGGAAAAGTTGCTTGTCCATTTATTATGAACAACTTTCATACGGGTCAATTTGCTGTAAAACAATATTTTTGAAAACCACCCCAAAGGGCTCATGAAACGGCCGCTAAGTCCGGAAATAATAAACTTATAAAACAAGTTAATTAGGCGAACTTATAGAGAATGTTCTTATGTACAATTTGCGTCTAATTATTTTGTTGTAGTACAGTTTTGAAAAAAAAACCCTATTGCTCAAAACCCGCAAGGGGAATATTTCCGATTTTGTTAATTTTACACTCAGAAGACAGTCGCTGACAAACTCTGAAAAAATCAGCTTGCCCGTAACTTTTTTTCACTCTCTATACGTGGCGATACAATTTTACTGGATTAACATGTTTATTCATTCTCTATTTAAGTTAAAAATTCTAAAAGGAAAGAAAAAAAACTTACCATAATAATCAAAACTAGATACCAATTCGCCTTTGTCTTGTGTAGTTTTGATTTCCTGCAACAAAAAACAGCATGTAAATTACTTTATTTAAAACATTCAATATTTACGTGTTACATGCGGTTGAAGCGCGAGTATCATGTCGATGGTGTCCAATTTCAATTTTACAACGAGTAATTTCCACACCACTATCATATTTCATTGAATAAACAACATTATTATTTATTTATTATAATGCATATAACAAAATAATAGACCCGGACAAGTATTCTTTAATTCAAGTATTTAGAATTGAAGATTTTGAAATTATTCGCCGCTAAGATTCGAAGCATGTTTTGATAAAAATATTTTGGTGCAAAATAGCGTAGGCGTGTATTTTTTATGTATCAATAATTATTATTCATAAACATCGCTTTTATCTAGTAACATTACATAAACGCCACTACATAAAATGATAAGGACTCGGGTTCCTTGTAAAATTTTACTGAAGCGTAGCGGTATAAGCGGTATTTTCATTTAAATTTTATAGTTTTATAGTTCTTCTGTAAGCGATAGTGGATTTTTATTGGATATTCAAAGATTTTGCATATTCGAGTATTGGTTATCCTTTGTTTTTATTCCCGCGGATTCCACATTCTTTCTCTGATAACACTTTCAATTTTACTTAAAAGATAAATAAAATCTATAAACTCAATTTGACTTAATGTTAATTATTTTCTCATTTTAAACGATCTCAAGAGGTAACATTAATAACTAACAACTAATTTCTTGAAAAAAAATCTGTTGGATTCCCATTAGTAAATATGTTAAAACATTTTATCTACAACCGTTTAGTTATAACGTTTTTACATCACTATTTTTTTAGTATTTCAGTTACGTTATAAGATTCATAACACAACTAGTTGCTAGAATAATGAAAAACAACTACGAACATCTAAATATATTCACTTTTCCAGCAATAATGATTCCGTGGCACGTACTGCGGCAAGTTCTACATCTGAAGGGAGACTTTCGGAATCGCTCATCGTAATTTTTAAAATGATTTTTCTGGGCAAAAAGTGCTCGCGTTTACTTGACAGGGCAAACTGACTTTTCAGCATAAATGTGACAAATCTCATAGTTAAATGTGTTAAAGGTGGGCGACTAATACAAATACAAATACAAATACTTTATTGCCGACAAAATGATCTTCCCGATCACAAAGCAACGTCACAGAACAGAGTATATTATCCCATTACAGAGTATATTATCTTAGAACATTAAAACATAGTAATAAATACACAAATATAACAATAATAAAAATTCAACAATATTCAGACAAAGGACATAATTAAAATTCAAAGTTAAAGCTATAAAACCGCGTGTGTGTAAAAATTCCAAAAGTGGTAATCGCTACCTACAGCCCTAATATTTGCTGGGAGCATTTCAAAGGCCTTGACCGCCCTGTAGCCTGGGCCCCTCCGAAAAGAAGACGAGCTATGCAGAGGTAATCTGGTAATCCGTTCCATATCTGGACCATAGTGACTCGAGTTCGTAGCAAAAAGGGCGGAATGCTTTTTAACGAACATCACCAGGGACAGAAAATATAAAGAGGGCACAGTCAGGACATGAATTTTTGCAAAATATGGCCTACAAGATGTCCTCGGATGCAAGCCGAACATACACCTGATCATTCTCTTTTGGGCCCTGAAGATCGGCTCGGCTAGAGCCGAAGATCCCCAAAACATAACGCTATACATAATTAAGGATTGTGAAGTGGCGATGTAAAGAGTTCGAATGGTGTCCAGAGACAATTGGTCCCTTAATCTTCGTATTATCGCGCAGTTACTGTTTAATTAAGTCAAAATATCTATGTGTTTTGTCCAGTGAAGCGTAGGATCAATGTAGACACCGAGAAACTTTACATAATCGGCCAGTGGTATAGACTTGTTATCACAGCTGACATACAAGAACTCGTTATCTCTGGTTTTACCAAAAGTAAGAAGTCCGGTCTTGGAAGTGTTCAATTGTAGGCTATTTTTCCTACACCACTCCCGCATCGTCCCCACTGTCTGCGAACAAGCCCCAGAGAGCCCCCGCAAAACTTGGTCTGTCAACACCAGAGAGGTGTCGTCTGCATACTGGCAAACCAGCCCCGAAACAAACTCCCCATGAAGATCATTCACATACAGTAGGAACAAAAGCGGTCCCAATATAGAGCCCTGTGGAACTCCCTGGCTTACTGTGACGGACTGAGAGAAGTATTTTGACTTTTCATGAGTGACACAAATTAGTTGTTGACGATCAGATAAATACGATTCGAGCAACCGCGCGGCAACTCCCCTTATTCCATATATATTCAACTTATTTAACAGGACGCCATGATTCAAGGTGTCGAAAGCCTTGGATAAATCAAAGAATATACCTGCTCCTTCTCACCTCTGTCGACCCTTTCAATAATAAAATTCAGCACATTATATATTGCCAGGTGGCATGACTTTTTAGCCTAAACCCATATTGAGTATATCGGATAATATACTATTTCGATCCAAAAAAGATGCAAGTCTATCACAAAGAGCCCTCTCAAACACTTTTGAAAAAAATGACAGAAGTGACACTGGACGGTAATTGTTCATGAGACAAGCATTACCCCCTTTAAGGATCGGGATAAGTTTAGCAACCTTCAAGGCTGAAGGAAAAACCCCAGATGAGAAGGATACGTTTATGAGTGCTGCAAGAGGTGTACATATGAAGGAGGCAATGCGTTTTAACAGAAATACCGGAATATCATCCAGATCTGCGGAATGCTTGTTTGGAAGATTCATTAGAATGTTAAAAATTTCCTGTGAATTAACAGGATTGAGAAAAATTGTGGGTGTAATAACGAAAATAAAAACAGCATTTTCTTATTTTTCGGTTGTAGATAAAACGTTGTACATGACGCGTGCGTTTAAACATGATTACAATACTCGTGTGATTAGAACATTCACACTCGTTGTTGTAATCATGTTCATAAACACACTTGTACTGTAAATAACTATTATACATTTACACATATTCTGTAGCATTTTGTCGGATGCTGAAGATACTTTGGACGGAGCACATATCAAATGACTCCGTATTACATCACATGAACCGAGAAAGAGGGCTTCTAAGTAGTGTAATAAAGAAAAGGAAATTTGGACATAAAGGAATTACATATTCTCAGAACCGATACAAGTACAAGAAGTATTTTATTATACGATTATTGGTGGTTCGAACTGGATATTCCGGAAATTTCGGCAGCATATTCTGCAGATAAAAATCAGTAAAAAACGTTCGTATAAATGTATATCCGAAAATTAGCTAACGAAAAGTTATTACTCTTAAAAACAGTTAAAACACATTTATGCGGCGCCGCATTTATACGGACTTTTTTATTATTTATTATATTATTTTTATCTGCAGAATATGTTTCCGGAATACAGTTCGGACCACCCTGTATAATATAAAACAATCCAAATCAAATCGAAACGGTAAAAATCCGCCCCGAATATGCAGGACAGTTAATAAAATTCGCTATGAAGCTTCGGGGGGTCCAATTTATGTAGTCGTATACAAACCAGATTGATGTCCAACATAACTATGTGGAAACGACCCATAACATTAAACTGTTGTGGAAAAGCGCTGTTTAATGACAGAACACCCCCACTAGACCTATTAATATTTTAATGTAAGGCATTATTTATGATTTTTAAAACGTCTTCGACGGCTAGGCTGTTGTACGCGTCTGTAAATCTCGATATCTTAAATGGAAACTCAAGTAAAACGTGTTAGTTAATTAAATAAATTATTGACTAGTGCGACCGACGTGAAGAGAGAATTATTCGATAATGACGTTGTTTAACTCTGAGGAATACACTCCTCAAAATATTTCGAAATTTTTTGGTCCACCAAAATGTCGATTTTGAAAATAGCTACTGTCATTAGCAAATTGCCATGGCGACCCCAGCCATCTTGATGGCCATTTTATTGAAGAATTGCTTTTTATTCAAAATCTCAGCCATATAGGTATAGGAAACCATATAGGTTTAAAAAAACACATACTGTTGTATTTGAAATAACGAAGTTTTTATGTAAAATAAATATTTAAAATAGACCAGCAATTTTTGATACCCCTGTATACATTTAAAGAAGCAATTATATTTTTTTAGTAAAGTTTATTTCTCTGGTTTCAAAGCCAGCGCAAGAATTAATTAAATACTGTACAGGGTGTTGACGAACTTTTTTATTATAGCATGCATATTTAAATATCTTTAAATATCTCAAAAACGAAAGCATTTAAACATATTAAACCCTTATAATAAATGCCTTATTTTATGCCAAGGAAAAAAAAATGAAATATAATACCGGGTGTTCCATAAGAAAAAATATAACTTTGCTATGGATCTTAGTTCTGGCACATCCTGTACATTTGAAAATAATTTTAAATTATGCACATTGCCTCTCTACATATACCCGTAAAAAATTATGTTTCTACATCTTTCCGTTTTCGTATAATCAACCGAGGCGAATGAGCTGCGCCACCGTGTATTGTGTAACATTTGTTGCCTTTGAAGCTACACACCGCTCTAATAATTCTGGCTATAAGCTATAAGTCCAGTCATTATTAATTACATTTACAAAATATAAAATTATATATCAAATGGACAGAGAGAATACCAACTTCCCGATAGTGTTAAAAGCTCCAAATTTGTCAACGAAAAAGTTAGGTTAAATTACAGTTGTCAAAACATCCGTTATCGTACGAAAAGTTAAATTTATCTACGTTGACGGACAGAAGATAGGTAGGAAATTTCGGATGAAAAGTGGCGCGAAAACACTATGACCAATCGGGGCGCCGTCGGATGATAGTATCAACGGATGACAGATACGGTTTAGCTCACCTGTGTTGCCTCTTCTTCATCCTGGCACCGATCTTTGCCATTTCTCCAACCGATCACTGCAAACGCGTTGAATCACTGTTAGAGCCGCACGATTATTGATGGCAAAAATCATGATCTTTTCGGTATCATCATCAGATCGGCTCACTTCTGCACGAACATTACTAGACGCCATCGTTGAAAGCAGATACGGTACCGAGACTTGAGAAAAAATTATGTTTCAGTCGCGCCGAGCACCAGTCTGTCTTCAACGATACTTTTAAGTGTCTTTTATATGTCGGCCTGATCTTAATTCGATCACCATGTTGCCAGAGTGGCAAGGGTCTGTCATTAGCAAAACGATTTCCAATTTAAAAACTCGCAATTCCTTAAAGACTATTAAAAAAAGTCCAAGGAAAACAACGAAAAAAATTGAAATGATAATTTAAAAAATCGCCTTAAACTAATCCGCATAAATCGGCAAATAAAATTTTGAGTGAACTACCTGGTGTCAATATAAGTTCTAAAACCATCCAAAGAAGGCTAAAGGAAGCAGGATTATTTAGCAGAAGAGCAGCCAAAAAAACACTCATCAGTAAGAAGAACCAGAAGGCCCGACTTATCTTTGCAAAACAATATTAGCACTGGTCGACGAATGACTGGAAAAAGGTGCTGTTTTCATAAGAAAGGAAATTCAATATATTTGGGTCCGATGGCATATCGTGGATACATCGCCCAGAAGGGAAAAGATTTGATCCAAATTATACCAAGGCCACTGTAAAGCATGTTGGTGGAACTTGCATGGTGTGGGGATGCTTCTCGGGCTTTGGAAGAGCAGCCAAAAAAATACTTATCAGTAAGAAGAATCAGAAGGCCCGACTTACCTTTGCAAAAAATATTTGCTCTGATGGTTGACGAATGACTGGAAAAAGGTCCTGTTTTCAGATGAAAGCAAATTCAATATATTTGGCATATCGATGGCATATCGTGGATACCTCGCCCAGAAGGGAAAAGATTTGATCCAAATTATACCAAGACCACGGTAAAGCATGTGGGGATGCTTCTCGGGCTATGGCATGAGCCGACTGCATGGAATAGAAGGAACAATGGATCGATTTATGTATTTGGACATCTTAAAGAAAGTGATGATTCCGTTTGCTGATGATAATTTACCTTTAACCTGGATATTTCAAGATAATGATCCAAAGCATAAATCGAAAGCCTTACAAGAATGGTTTTTGTCTGAACGAATTAGGGTTATGGACTTTCCTGCCCAAAGTCCAGACCTTAACCCCACTGAAAATCTGTAGGATAAACTAGATCGCCGGGTAAGACGAAGTCGCATTAGCAATAAGAAAGATTTGATAAGAATTTTGAAAAAGGCCTGGAATTCCATTGAACCAGATACCATTAGAAAACTATTGGACTCCATGCCAAAGTGATGTCGTGAAGTTATAGCTAATCACGGTTACTCTACCCATTATTAATTTTATTAGGTTAGGAACAACTATGTACTTGTAATTTCTATATTAATTTTTAGTTTCTCTATTTTTGTCGTTATAGTTTTTTATTTAACTGAATAAAATCTTATGTTTTCGTGAGACATGTGATCATTTCATTTAAATAAGAACTATTTAAGTATCTTTAATTTTGACAATGCATAAAATGTCGCAGTCCCTGCGTTAACAAAAAAGACACAATTTTAAAAAAGTTTCTATACTTTTGTCCGATAGTATGTATTTTTTCTTTCTGTAAAATTTGTAAAGTATGTTATCATTTGATCTTAACACTACAAAATATAGTCTAAAGTTCGAAATAATTTAGCAAATATTTTAGCTACATTTTTCAAGATATGACAACACCGAGCGACGTACTCATCTCAATTACAATTTGCGATATGTGTTCATGGCTCTGCCATAGCGCCGCTTGGTGTGGCGCCTGCCGCTGTCACCTAATAACATAGCATTACGCTCTTTTTTTTTCGATGGTCGTCTGAAAAAAAAGTCACCCGAATAAAATCGTATAGTTAAGTGTTCGGGCTGTAATATAATGTATGTTTTTTATGGCGTCTCGTGGGAGTTTTGTCCTCAGACCAATAAAAAAATCGAGTCTGTATTTTTTCGGAAAATTATGACGAGATGTTGTAAGAATAAAGAAAATATATTTATAGAAAATATATTTTCAGAAACCTAGGGGGACACAATAGATCTCTGAGGGCGCGGTGATTACCCCCCCGCTTGCACATTTAGTGATAATACAACATTATGGCCATAACAACCATTTGCAAACTATTTTTTTCTACGACTGGCCCAGAAAATGCAGTTTGACACACGGAAAACTCGATCTGAAATTGGCGTTTTGCAAACTGTTGTGTACTAAGGATTTAGCGCACGACAGGTGTCATTTTTCATACGACATGTGCCAATTTTAACATTTTTAACTCCCAGTGTTTAGCCGAAACGCCAAACGCAACAAAACAAATTATTTCACAAAACTGGCAAAAACTGAGTGAGCCTGTTGCTAATTTGTAGTCGTAGAAAAAATAGCGTAAAAAACTCGTTCGAAAACTTCTTTGTACACTCGTTCGACTTGTGGCATCACAACAAACTGTCGAACTCGTGTGCAAAACGTCGTTTTCGAAACTCGTTTAATATACTATTTAGGCTAGAATTCTAATTTAGACATATTTAGATGTTGCAAATAAATGACATTTATCTATGGAAGCTAATTCTTTAATTCAACCCTCCACAATTACTCCTATAGTGATATTGGCCGTTGAGATTGGAGTCAGAGCTCCAAAATGCCTTGTATTTATAGTGTTTAATTCACTTTTTTTTTCTTTAGTTTTCAAACATTTCTTTTTACCTTTTAATCTATTCATTATCTTTACAAAATACACTTGTTTTTGTTACTCTGTGCAACTTTATTTGCCTAATTAAAACGATTTTAATTTTAGTATCTTCTGCATATGGGTGAAATAATATGCAAAAGAATGTCGTCTCCGGAAATGCCACTGGCACTGACTGTATGTGAACCGACAAAAATAAACGTGTGGGTGAGGCCTTTAAATATAAAAAAAACCTGCGCAAACTAATTGCTGTGATTTTATTCAGTTAACCTGGTCATTTTAACTTTCATTATTGAATTCTTTGAAAGTTTTTATTTGCGTTAAAGAAATTAAATTAATTTTAGAATTAATTTGTTTTTTTGATTTATATATGTTCATTGTTCATAGGACCTTTTTGTTTTATTTTTGTAGAATTACCCACAATAGTTAGATACACTATTTTCTTGACACCCTGTAGAATAGAAATGAAACGGAAAATAGTATATTCAAATCTATGGAGATATTGAAATATACAGGGTGGTCCGAACTGTATTCCGGTTTTTTATACCAATTTTCATCCAAATATTGACGCTGCTTCAAAAATTATTTGGAAATAATCGAAATAAAAATGAAACTTCTACATCCTGTATTTCAGAAACTAAGCATTTTCGGACATACATTTGTACGAACTTTTTTACTTATTTTTATCTGTAGAATATGCTGCCGAAGTTTTTGAATACAGTTTGGACCACCCTGTATACATAGATCTCTGTTTTCTTCAGTATTTTTATTCAGTAGGTGTTTAAAAAGTTATTAAATAGAATCTCAAGAATTGTACCTTTATTTGCTGTAAGTTTTGTTGAACTTGGTGCAAGTTACAAAAAAAAAATTCAAAGCGGAAAAAAGAAACCAGCGTGCAAGTCAGAAAATCAAAATATGAGGTAAAAGAACTTTAAGTGTAGTACTTTTTTTTCTGTGGGTCTTTTACGAGTTTGGCGTGCCTACGAGAGGCGTCATTACGCGTGATTTTTTTCCAAAAAACCTAATGCCACACAGGTAGGCGTCCGTTTACGCCATGCCGCATGCATAAACAACGTTTCTTATACTTGAAGATCCTGCAACTCTCAGGCTCGTGTACCAAAATTCGATACCTGTATAAATTTTATCGCCTCGGCAACGAGAGCCGTTTGAATTTATATTCTCCGGGCGTCTTTTGTTTCAAATTTATGCGTCCATTTGTACGAAAACAAGAAAAAATCATGTGTGCGCTGAATTAATTCTCGTCAGGACGATTGTTATTATGCGAAGAAACATGAGTTTTACATAGTCTTTAATATCTATTGCGTGGTATTTTTTTGAGTTTTTATTATTATTACACGACAGATGCCATTCTGCAGACTTGTAGGTTCTTAAAGTGGAAGTGAAGAACCTGGAAAACTCCATCCGTGACCTGGAATGGGAATCCCCCAACGGTCTAAGACACTCGAAGAAATTTCTCAGGACTTATGACCGAGAAAAATCAAAGACTTTCCTTGGTTTAAGTAAGAACCTTCGAATTGTCAGGTTTTTTTTAACAGGACACTGTCTCCTCAATGAATATTTCAGTAGATTGAAGCTAAGAAACAACGGCGAATGCAGATTTTGTGAGAAAAATGATATTGGAGATGGAAAACTAACCTCTGTAAAACTGTCTGAGATACTGGTTTTTGTCAAACTCCTGAGACTGTTTGACACAGACAGGTCAAACTGACAGAAGAAAGTATCAGGATGAGTCTAAAGATTAACACCGTCAAGACAAAAACTATGAATTTCAACAGACATCCGCAAGACAATAAAAACACCGACATAATGATAAACGGCGTCCATCTCGAAATCACGCAGAGATATACTTACTTGGGAAGGGAATTAAACAGCTAGCTAGACCACTCTAAGGAAATCAGAAAAAGGATTGAAATAGCCAGAGGGCTGGTTTCCTCAACATGCGGAAGTTCTTATGCCATCCGAAAATAGCTATACCTACGAGGTTAAGAATATTAAAATGTTATATATGGCTCCTGCTTCAATATGGATGAGAAACATGGACGCCAAAACAAGAAGACATCAAACGCCTTAATGCTTTTGAAACGTGGATGTATCGTCGGATGCTGAGGATAAGTTGGACCTCCAGAATAACAAACTGTGAAGTTTTAAACAGAATGAAAACTTGTGCACACCTAACAGGTACAATTAAAATCAAAA